ATCGATTCCAGGATTCCACGAATTTGGCGGAATAATAAACGTTATGGCGAAAATAACAAATACGTGCTGTAGATTTAATCTCCGGGATTAATATCTACTCGTTACGAAATGCGTTTCGCGAATTTTCCCCGTCGAATTTATGCTTTTTACGAGCGCCGGTAAAGTCTCTTCCGACGTGCATTCTATTTCCATTTTTTCACTGAAAATATATTTCCATGGAATTTTTATATATGTTAATACTTTATACACTGTATTCCACACGGAAGCGAATTTAAGTGATATCTCTGCAGGAATTCGGAATGAATGAAATTGGAATTTCTTTTTAATTAAATCATTTTCAAATTAATTAAAAAAATTAAACGTTAGATGTTTTTTATTTTCATCTGAAATCTAGTAGACCTTATAATGTTCCTTGTAATCTATTACTTGTTTTCTAATACGTACAGAACTATTCGTTGCTATTCCTACAAAACGCCAACGGGTCGTAAATGATCCAACGATGCCAGTTGCGTGGTCGAGATGTCACCGACTGAGGGTTAAAAAAACTCGATACCTCCTAAAATAAATACCTTTGATTGCTCTTGCGGAAGTAATTGCTCAAACCACCGTAAAAAAATCAATAATTAATATTGCATTTCCGCATCAATGGCAGTTAATGGGTTAAAAGGTAAGAACAAGAATCGCCTGACACGTGACAGCCAAGCCACCAGAAATCCCGATAAAACGGAGCCGTGTAATTCCATCATTTTCCAATTCATCGTATTCATTCTGGGAAGCTTTTCATTCAATCTAAAACGGATGCCCCGGCGCGACGCCTAGAAGAATCGTCGTTTACCGAGCAATTTAAACGATCTCGTCGACGTTTTATGCTCCGTGCACCGTGTCACAGTACAAACGACACACGCAACCGCGTGCATGTTCCTGATAATAACTAATAAATTTTGCAATTTAGTTCAGTGGAACGTCCATTACCTCTTGCACCCTCGTTCCATGCACGTGTACAAAGCGTTGACATCGTTACCCGTTGCATAAACTTCGCCGTGTCAAAGTAATGGAAAATACATCTTCGATGGGAAACTGCCACTTTAATGTTGCAATTCTCCAGCCCCTTGAAAAGCAATCGAGGCCTTTGCAAACACATTTACCCGATTCAAATATTTCCTCAGCGCCGTCTCGACGAATCGAATCACTATTTCGTCTTAGGCATCGTCATTAGTATCAACGTTCGATATTAGGCCTGTCTAAGTTGTTTATTTGTCTCTTATTATCTTTCTTAGTAATACCAAGGTATATTTTAATAATAAAGTTCGCTTGGATAAGATTTGAAAAGTCCCAGGTGACTCGGTTTTATTTGGCGCGTTTTCTCACGTGAGCCAAACCGAAGTTGATTGCTTAGGCGACGCAACGGGGTCGGTCGCGTTTACGAGAGTTCGTTTCAGGTTCGAAATTATAGTCGTGACGTAATTAGTACGTATTCGTACGACCGCGTCCCGTGAAAATGACGCCCGGGCATGTGGATTCCCATGATTTATGCGATTCGAGCTCCGGCGTGATTGCATCGGGCATAATTAGTCACGGATAGTTGCAGCGGTTTCGTTGGAAGTTTGCGGTTGTCGCATGTCGCTTATGAATGTTTAAACATCGAAAGGAAAACCGAGAAAGAATCATTTTGTCGCGGAATAGACCAATTTGGGTAATATACAAGACTCGTGTATTATTATAGCTGCTATATTTGTTTTGAAATCGTAGAGTACCAACAGTTCCATGAATTCGTCTTTTATCGATGGTCGATCGGAAGCCATTCGGTAAACGAAATAATCGTTGGCCCTCGATATGTTTTCGAAATCCGATGAGCTATTTCTGAACGCGCGTCAAAGTGCATTTTGCTCGGAATTGGCGGTTAAGAATAGCCAATTTATTGTTGTTCGTTGCGAGGAAATTAGTTTTCGTAGAACTTAAGGAAATATTCTACTATGAATCTTTGAGGAAATCGATACTTTTAAACTTCATTTAAAAGAAAAACAGCAAACGTGTTTTTCAAAATCTACTTGGTCACCTTAGACGAGAACTTGCAAATATCTACTCACGATTTTTAAAGATAGACTTTGTAATACTCGTTTCTTTCTCTTATTTTATTTAAATTTAATTTTAAGTTTTACGTAAGGTCTACTCGTATACCTCGTCTGTGGTTTCGTATTCTCGAGAAATCGTAAATTTCGGGATACCATCCGAGGTAAGGAAAGAACGTCGCGGTGATAAATGGATTTCTTCGTATTGATAATTGAATCAAATCGACGGCTTTATCAATTTTGCTGATTTTTCCGTCCCGTCGCGTTCCACTTTGTGCCGATTTAATTTCTGCCCGCGAGTTCTTGGCTATTGAATTATGCGACGACGTTAAACGAGAAGCGACTTTCATCTCGGAAGCTTTTCGCTCGGATTCGCCGAAACGACGTTTCGCTACGGCGACTCGCGCAATAATTTACGATTCCGCGAGACGATCTTCGAGGCGAGACAGCACCGAGGGAATTTTTACTATTATTCAAATTAACAGGGACAAGAACAAATTCTCTCAACAACGACGAAGGAATTCAAGATATTTCTAAAACACCGCCGTTCCATTTTCTGATTCATTGCGTCAGATACACGTAACGCGTGCACAATCTCGCTGTTGGGTCTTTACGTTGCTCACGTGCCGCAGAATGTGTTCGAATCGTTTAATCCCGACCAACTTTAAGTCTGTCGCGCCATTGTGACGTAATAATCCGACGTCAAGTTGACCATAAATGTCGTTGGCACTAGACGAGGTGAAATTCGTGTCTCGGTCTGCTAACCATCGGATACCAAGGTCCTCCAACAAGAATTGGACGCTATTCGAATGAATTCTTATTGGAATAATGATTCCAACAAAGATCTGGTAAATTAAGATTTTATTTTAGCAAAGCAAACAGTACGCTGGATTTACAAATAACGAACAGGAATTGGAACAAGTTCAAATGCAGTTCCGTCTGCCCAATCCTTCATGCTTGGTCTCCTCTGGACATCAGTGCTTTGCAACAAGTGTTGGGTGTAATTCAAAGAAATTATTCCAAATAAAAGTTTATTGGAAATAAATACATCGTTTAACCCTTTCGAGTACATTTCTAGGTAGTATTATAATAGAAAATAATTTGAAAAATCATTCGATAACGTGTCCCGAACAGCTGCGAAGCGACACGATGCTTTCCAACTCTGAAAAGTTCTCCACTTCTGGTCTAGCATAGTGGGCCACGTCAAGGTACTGGGATATCGAGAGAGAGAATATCGAACGCGTGCATCTTTGATTCCGAGGTATTTTCCCCTCTATTCGTTGACCTATTACTGCAGCTGAACAGGTGGCATTTTATAGGCGCCCCTCGCGATGTAGCTTACGTCATTCACGTGTTCCAGAATGCGTGTCCGATCGAATGCACTCGGTGCAAACGCGCGCGGATGCGTTTTACGACCGATGCACATTCAGCTTCCGTCGAAATCATGTGTCTTTGGTGCACGAAATTCGTAAACATTAAGAAATTATTGGGTCCTTCGATTACTTTATTTTCTTCCACATGGATACATCAAACAAAAACAATTCAGGAGTGAAACAGGACCTCGGTCAGTTTCGTCCTTCGATTTTTCCTCATCGATTATGTTTTCGCGTATGAAACAAAGTGGGGAAAAAATATTTTTCACCGGAAAAAAGGTACCTCAGGAATTCTCAAACACGAATGCTCGAAGAAATCCTCGGTAAAATAAAGTGTACTCCGTGCAGCTTTGATCGGGCACTGCCTTCGAAAAAGAGGGAAACGAACAACGTATCGCTGGCGTACCCTTTCTGATACTGTTTCTGCCCATTTTGCTTTGCCCATTCTTTGACTGCTCGCTGATCAAAGGGTCGTTTGACGACTACACCGTCCTCAAAAACCGGCGAACGTCCCTTTTGGCTTGCATTACGTACACGAATATGCAATGGTTCTCGATTCACAATGCGTACGAATTGCGTGCTGAACCAGAAGGGACTGCTCCAGCATCGCACTGAAACTTGATGGAACGTAAACCTCGGGAAACAAATGCCTTCGCTAAAGATCTGCCAGTTCGATAACAATTGTACAACAACGTATTATCTTTTTTTTTTATCATGATTGCGATAGGAGGAGGTTCAGGTTCGTTGGATCTAAACGAGGCCCGGTAAAGTGTTAACAACGATAATTCTTTTTACAATGCATCGAGAACAATTTAGTTTTATCTTTGTTTACGAAAGTCGAAGGAAAAGTTTATGTTTTCGATTCGTTAAAAAGTAATAAAACCGGGTTGGAAAAGAAGAGTTAGCCAGTGCGTGACTCCTGAAATATTAAAACAAATTGAAGCACGTGGCTGGCGGAAAGGAAAGAATCTCGAACAAGAAGTTCCCGCAAATGGAAGGAAAACATTGAGTCACGGGAGTTAAGAAAGCGTAGAGAAGTTTAATTCGAATTGTCGGACTTGGTTCGTGAAAAATTCAAAGGAACTTCATACTCGCCACAAGTTGAAAGAACTTTGAATTTACGATGTTTTTGCTCTAGCGCGGTTTTTCTTCGTTCAGCGTTTTCTAGGACGATGCTACGAGACCGCCATAGAGATAAGGAGAGCGTCGTTTTTTTTGTTTCAGACGCTATTTTTCACCCTTAATCTCCTTCCAACACAGTTTTGTAAATAGAAGTTACAAAGGGAAAATAAATAATTCTATACCAATTCGAAGTATTAAAAAATCATTTGAGAACGCGGATGTTTTTATTCTATGACCAGATCGATAATTCCAACACAAATACTATTAGAACGATAAAACAATCGAAAGGAGAGTAAAAATAACACCAAATGAGTTTGCAAAAGTACTTGTACTTTTAACAAGTTTTCGTTGAGTTGTTCTTGCAGTAAAAAAGAATTATACTCTTCGCTTAGGAAGAAAAGAGTATACGTTAAATTGTTATAATTGTTTTGTGCAGCAGGACAGTTCAGAATCGGAGCGTTCAGAGGCTGAGGACTCAAATGATTTAGGGGCCATCGTCAGCCCCAAGATCTGCGCGATGGACACTGTGGACAGTGCCAGCAAACGGCAAGCTACTCGAGTCTTCAAGAAGTCTGGCCTAAATGGAAAGATCACAGTGTACCTTGGGAAAAGAGATTTCGTCGATCACATAACCCACGTTGATCCTATCGGTAAGATCTCGTCGTTTATAAAAGATCTTTTGCATTGATTTTACAAAGTATCATTCACGGATTTCAACATGAAGAATATAAGCGTTCTGACATTAATCAAATTCATACTTGAAACGTCTCAATTTCATATTTTTAAAGTCTCGCGGGAATTGGAAAATTCGATTTGCTCGATGGCTAGTTAATCCCCAGACGTCAAGGCCACTTAACGATTTCTTCATCGACCGCTGTTCGATCGTTACAGACGGGGTCGTGCTGATTGACCCGGACTACGTGAAGGATCGCAAGGTCTTCGGCCATGTTCTGGCCGTATTCAAGTACGGCAGGGAGGACCTGGATGTTCTCGGGCTGTCGTTCCGCAAGGACCTCTATCTGGCTGCGGACCAGATCTACCCCGTGGTCCCCGGTTCCCAACAAAGGGAGCTCACACGGTTGCAGGAGAGGCTGATCAAGAAGCTGGGCAGCAATGCCTACCCTTTTTACTTCGAGCTGCCACCGCACTGTCCAGCATCGGTGACGCTGCAACCTGCACCAGGGGACACTGGCAAACCCTGCGGTGTCGACTACGAATTCAAAGCGTTCGTAGGTGAGACGCAGGACGAGAAACCGCACAAACGGTACGAGTCTTGATTATGTCGCGCTCGTCAGTATAACTTCTGTGACCAGATAGCTTCCATTCTTTGGGTCTACGACTGATTCGTCGGTTGGTAAATGAAGAGCACCCGGTTGACTATACCAGCTGGTTTCGCTGTGAACCATAGGTATCTTAACACTTTGTTCTCTGCGTCCATTTCAAACGTTCAATGGGCGCTTACGCGTGTTAAAAAGTACATTTTAAAATTCATAAAACTGTGGCTATGATCCTTGTTAGATCGCTAACGTGCCAGCTTAGAATCAGTTAGGGAAACACTGTGACAGTCCTTTCTCACTCGTTCCTCGGGATAAATTATTCGAACTTTAGCCATCGAAGAGTTAGGTATTAGACCAGCTAATTCTGTTCGGGAAGGATCAACAGTGGTGAATTGTACCTTGCAGGGACCTAGTAAGGCTGGCGATACGAAAGATCATGTACGCGCCGTCGAAACAAGGGGAGCAGCCTTCGGTCGAGGTCAGCAAAGAATTCGTGATGTCGCCCAATAAACTCTACCTGGAGGCGTCGCTGGACAAGGAGCTGTACCATCACGGGGAGAACATCGCCGTGAACGTTCACATAGCGAACAATAGCAACAGGACTGTTAAAAAGATCAAAGTGACCGTGAGGCAGTTCGCTGACATCTGTCTGTTCTCCACGGCACAGTACAAATGCACGGTCGCCGAAGCGGAGAGCGAGTGAGTATTATTCGATTCACTATTCTATCACTCAGGCTCGCGATAGAGTACGTGTGACATGGTCAGTACGACGCGTGGCAGCAAATGGATCCATATGCAATGGCGCGGATGAACCGTGGGCGTACGAAGACCGATCGTTGCGTTTCTTCTTACCAACTAACGTAATTCATGCCCAATTAAGGTATTTGGACTGTAGAGTCGAGAGTTCAGCGAGACGTCCGACTTAGTAGCTATGTATTTAAAAACAGTAAATGTCTATGTGACAAACTGGTGAATCCTCAGAAGTCTTCTGAGAGCCTTACTATACATATAAATTTACTTGCAGATCTCACGCTTATTCAAACTTGGAGGTCCAAAGTCACATCCTGATTTTCCTTTTCGTTGCTTCTTATTTCAATTTATTGAATCTTCCTCGTGAATCTGTTTGCTGCCATACGCTCGTACGACGTAGATTCTCGTGTTGAAAACGTTCGGGCGTCGCGACGGCATCCGGTTCCCTGTCATCGATGCGGACAAACCTCGTTTGTTGCGTTAAAAGAACGAGAGATCGCGTGCCTGATCACGGTATCTAGTTCGATGGAAAATCCTCTTACGCGAAAACGGGACACCCGCGACAACATTGTCGATAGACTGATATTCCGTCTTCTAAATTGCTCGATGCTCTCGAACGAGTGTTTTACACACACACAGACACACACCCAAGTGGAGGGTAGCTGGAAAATTTACAAGTAATAGATTCGCCACTGTGACAAGGCACCGGACGCTCGAGATCTATCGACGCTGGCGCGGTTAGACGTAAATCGCAAAGTCCTGTAATAAATTGCCGTCCGACCGGGGAAAATCTCTATTATATCGAGTAGTTTGTGTCAACAATCGCCTTGCACTGGTTTCTGCGCTTCGAAACACGGTCACGGCGAAGAAAATTCGGCGAGTGTTCGTATTCGAGGCCACGATCTTACAAAAGGACAACGGGCATTTTTAATTTAATTAATTTTAGGCAATTTACTTCACCTTTTTTTCTATCATCAAGTGTATTGAAATCATTTAAATCCCCTTTTCCGTTTTTTCTTTTCGATGTTGAAATCAAACGTATAATCCAGTTTAACCCTTCTAGATTTCATTGAAATCTCTGTTAGGTTTGCAGTGGAAGATATTTGGATGATAAACTTTTTTGATGAATTCGAATAGTTTTAGGAACACTCGCCTCATATTTTCTCGCAATTTTCAATGTCGGGACATCGAACTCGAGTCACAGTTTTGAAAGAAGGTGGCGTAATGTGATACCGTCCCGACCGAGTATTAACGCCTAGGGTGTACAAACGATAGAACGCGATAAACGCCGAAAAGGATATTGTGACACGACGAAACGGAAAATAAGATGATTGCACTGACAGTATAGGGGTAGCGCCAGGATTCACCCTGAGCAAGGTCTTTTCTCTAAGGCCGACGCTTGCTGACAACAAAGACAAGCGAGGTCTTGCTCTAGACGGTCAGCTTAAACACGAGGACACCAATCTCGCATCTAGCACAATGTGAGTGCTCAAACATTGACCGACGTACTCTTGTTTTTTTTTTTTTCCTTTGCCAAACGTTTCGGAGACCGAAGATTGGAAACGGGCCAAACGATCCTGGGGAAAGATTATCGCGATTCCCCAGGATTTGTTTTTAAAGTATCGAAGAACGCGCGCCGTGGTTCCGAATATAAATGGACGCGTTCCAGTGGATCCATTCTTTCGGCGATTATTTGCCAGCTCGAAGAGGGGTGTATTGATATTCATGAGCCACGATCGTTCCATCCTTTCATTGATTTTTCAAAAATATTTTAATTTTGATCTATCGTTCGTGCAAGCAGAAAGTTTTTGTTCGAATCGAAGGAATTCGTTGCCAAAGTACCTTGCAGACTTTGATTAATTTTTGATCCTCGATATCTGGGAACAAAGCAAACGACACCCGATTCAATATTTATCCGATACGTCGTCGCGTCTTCGAACAAACCAATACACCCTTCGTCGGATCGTTGGATTCCGTTGTTTGTCCAGCTTCGGACAACAAGACAACCATATCGGTTTATGAGTCTGTTTTGCGCGGGAGAAGGCATTCAATTACGCCGCGCGACGAGGGGTAGCGACTCATCGAAGCCCGTTTGCAGTCTTCGCGGGCGACCATTGCTGAAACGAAGTGCGATATTGTATGGGAACGCCGTTCCAACGTGGAATGCCAGTATTTTTCTTGATGGTTTTTTTGCTGGGGACTTTATAGATATGGTACTCCATCGGTGGTGGTCTACCTTTTCCCCTGTAAACGATCACGTGTCCCTCTTTTTCTGCCCCCTCGTCAAAAACCCCTTCATCCCGTTCACTTTATTTCTCTATTATCTCCACGTCTGTGTCTTTCCACGATTGATATGCCGATCAACGAAAACGCCCCGTTACATCCTTGTTTCTATCACTCTTTCACCGTCTCTCAATTCCTCCTCTCCCGTATATCCGTAGTCTGTGTTGCAGTGTGACGCACAAGCTGAAGTTCCGTGTTTTACACGCATAAAGGCGCGTGGGTGTGTGTTTATGATCGTCAGTGTCCGTGTCAAGTAGCTTATTATCGCTCTGTCTCCGTCGAGATTCGAGTCGAGTCGAATGGTCGCTGAGATTTCGAGTCGCGTGATTCACCGAGATTTGGGGGTGGTTCTCCGGTATTTAATTACACGATACTCGTAGCGATTCTCAAAAGTTTCCCAAAAAAGTTCAAGACAATCGAATTCGAAACGATAAAGTTACCTCCAAGTCTCTGTTCTCGAAGTTTAAACCAATCGATCGGCAATCTTTAATTTGACACTTATTCTCAGGATCTCAGGCTTCTCGTTTGATCTTACATTTACTACGCAGTGAAACACGACTGTCTTTTTATGTTTGATACGACAGCATCTGCAGCCGAAAATCCGAGGCGAGTTTACGTTGGCAGCTTGCTCGTATGCCCCAAACACCCAGTCATCGCAAACCAAATTTAAATTTCGAACGCAATTATTGCGCATCGGAATCGCGAGGAGAGACCGGTGACTTCGTGAAATTTCAGTGCACGCGTTTTAATAGTTCGACCGCGACGGGGGTTGACGCGTTTCGATACGAATCGATACAAACGTCGACGCTGCTACGATCATTATTAAAACCCGAACAGATACGTAGAACTTTGATATAGTATTGATACACATCGCGATCGCTTCTTTAAGTCGAGGTGATTGAATCGGTCGAACGGGTTGACGAGCGAACAGTATTATAGTTGGATCAACGTCAATTGGCGGCTGAAGGCCACCAAAACAAGTTTACTTCCTACGTTTGGTTATATCTACCATTCTATTTAATCTTCTCGTGAAAATCTACAGGCGCATGTCCATCTTTCGCTGAGATATGCAGCGAGTTCAATAAGATTCCTAAGGTACAGTTAGGAATAAAAACATAGTACTATGTTCAAAGTACGTCTTATTAATTTGTTCCACTAATTATATTCAATTTTTCTATTTTTCTATTTTCTTTTAAAATGCGATGTTAAAATATCAAAACGAAGTCATCTAATCGCTAGTAATGACAATGTATCGTATGAAATTACATTTGAATATCATTACGTTGAAAATGTAAAAGTAGAAAACACGTAACCCAGGGATCGTGACTTGATAATTTCATTCTATGTGGTATTCCTGTTAATGGTAGAATATCATCATATACCGTAGAAAATTATATTTAATAGAGGCTACGTTGACTGCGCAGAGAATGCATGACATTAATTATAGTATAGAAACAGGAAACCATGTGGTCATATTTGTACACATTATTTAAGAATATTACAATCTCCGCCGTTTAATTTATGTTTCTTAGAAGCTATTTACGCTGTTGCGTGACAAGCTGCAAAATGCCATGCTATAATGATGGGAAAAATGGCCGTGAGTCGCCAGTTGATTTTGACGCAACTGTGATTTTCAAAATTCTTTCTCACAAACGGATTCAATAATTAATTCGTTACTACTATGCACCTAATTTTTGACGTTCGACATAAAATCTCGTTTCAAATACAGTGAGTTTTCAATTTATGCGATTAATTCGTCCACTTCTATTCTTGCTCTTGTCAAACTGAAGAGGATCGAACCATTTTTTTTGTGCGCATAGATAATTCTTTATGAAGTTACGTAAAAAGCAAAAGCAATGGTAATTGTTTCTACAACAAAGGGCAATATGCAAACGATAGTACGTGCCGCCTGTGCATCGGTAATGTTATCTAATACGCGAAACAATATCCGCTAACGACTTTCATGAAAAGGAAACCTCGTTTCATGCGTGAATACATATACACATGCAAGATGTGTATATACGAGTACGTAATTAGGACTATAACCGTGTATGTACGAATCTGTGTAACTCGAGGACTCACTGTACTGTTTAAACATAACAGTATGCATAAAATTTACTTGTCAGAACATTCCCAACACATCTTTCTTTCATAGTCTAGACAAATGTCTAGGACCTTTGCATAGTACTCACGGGTTAATAAATATAATTGTAATTAGGTCATACACAGTGGTTTATCCGACGCTTGAAAATTTCAAGAAAATTCGCAGGTTTCGCGTTCCCCTTGCCAGAAAGAAACAATACGCGTTCGATAATCAATTCCGTTCGCAATTACCAAGAATCTCGGATGAAAGAGTCAATAAACGCTGTACAGTCCGCTCCCCAAAGAAGTCAAACAATTACTCTAAATGCAAACGTCTCGACGAAAATAAAGGGTATCAGAGAAAGACGCAGAAACCAATTTTAAATGTGTACCCAGCCCTGGTGATCGGATGTGCCGGATGAACCGGAGTTCCGAAATCCGGATATTAGATCCGTGGCACGTTTACCTTCACCCTTGTGCTACATGTTTGTCAGGGAGGGGTGCCCGGTGGGGCCAGGTTTCACGCTGAGCAAAGTGTTCTTTCTGACACCGCTTCTCGCCAACAACAAAAATAAATGGGGGCTTGCCCTCGACGGCCAGCTCAAACACGAGGACACCAATCTGGCGTCCAGCACTCTGTAAGGAAACCGCCGCTTGTCGATGGAAGTCAACAACACGCCTGGATATATTTACACCCTGCCGCAACGAAAGTTTGGGTGCACGAGTTTCGCGATTAAAAAAAAAATTCCGTCATATTTTTCACCGATACTTTCTATCAATCGGAATCTCTCTGCTCGTTTTCATATCTTTCTCATCCGTTTCTGCTCTCTTGTTCGGTTGAAATGACGTTTACATTACAGCCGGAAATGTGTACAAGACGTTCGATACGTTCGATGACATTTCGAATAAATTATCGTAAATGATTTTGCTGTCTCAAAAGGAGACGTAACTAAATTTTGATTATAATTCTTTAGAAGTTATACCCACGAGTAGAAGTACAATGATAAATCCTCTTCGCTGATATACAGTCTGTTTTATAAGAGCGTTGGAGCGATTTTTCGAATGACGGAGCTAGAAGAGCGGTAACATTTATCAGATCTACTTCAGATGTTTATAAAGAGTATCGCGTTACTCGACTCGCGTCCCATACTCAAGCAGTATTCGTTTGTCAGCCCGAGCGATCGAATGCTTAAAAATGAGTGCGGCGTACGCTAGGCGATACGAAGCTGTATTTCTTTGTACGCATCCGAAAGTTCCAAAATTAAGCTTTTCTGCGACGGCTCGTTATATGAGGAAATCGACAGAGTTTGTTAGAAAGTGGATGAATCGTTATAAATTAGTGAAAAACGTTGATGACTTTGAAGGAAGAGGGAAGAAAGGTGGAACAACAGAGCGACAGGATAATGTGATTCTAAGACTGTTCGAAAAAAATCCGTCGCTGTCATTACGACAAGCTCAAAAACAGCTTGAAAAAAAGGAATCAAGCTTGCCGTTTCAACAATAAAAAGGCGATTAGAAGATTCCAACGTAAAATATAGAAGCACGCTGCGAAAGCCCTTGCTCTCCGCGAAACACGTCAGTATGCGATACGCTTGGGCCCAGAAAAATATTGATTGCAACTGGGACAATGTAATCTTTTCTGACGAATCCTCGTTTTGGGCGTGGGTACCTAAAAAGAAAGCCTGGACCAGCAAACATAATCCAATGCTACAACTAACTGTTAAACATCCAGTTAAGGTCCACGTTTGGGGATGCTTTTGTTCCCTTGGTTTTGGAAATTTGTTTCTCTTCACCGAAAATTTGAATGCTGAAAGAATGGTAAAAATTTATGAAAAATGCTTGTTGAAATCAGCTAGAGTGTGGTTTGGTGACAATAATGCTTCGTGGGTGTTACAAGAGGACAATGATCCGAACACCGCAGCCGTCTTTGCACCGAGTGGAAAAAAGAAAACGGTATCAATGTTTTAAGCTGGCCCTCACAGTCACCGGACGCGAACCCCATTGAAAATGTATGGGCAATTCTTAAGATAAGGCTTCAGGGAAAACAAGTATACACCCTGAAACAATTATGCCGCCGAATAAGAATTTTATGGAGATCATTACCAATAGAATACGCTGAAAACCTCGTCAAAAGTATGCAAAAACGCTGTGAGGCTATACTACAAAATAAAGGAGATTTCACACAATATTAGGTATTTGCGACGTAGTATTATAAATAAACTTTGATGCCCTCCATGAATTTTTACAAAATATTTACTTGTTGTTTAGATATAGCTCCAACGCTCTTATGAAACAGACTGTACGTATACAGCAATGCTTGGATAGCTGCTTGGAAAGCCCAAATTTTGCCATGATTAATAAAAAGTGTAATATTAAGATGTTTTCTGTACACATTGCCGATAAATACTATAAATATTAATTTAAAAATGTTTTAATTATATCGACGCGTTATATTTTCGTATTATATTGACGATCATGGATCGAATGTTGAACTTCTATTTTCTGTTCATCCGGGGGGATTTATATTCTGGACAAAATTCTTGGTTCATGGTGCCCTTACCGCCACCGTAATCGTTTCTGCGCATAATTTCAGCGTCCTCGACGGGGCACTGGTCGGAAATAAGTATAGCATAGTTACTCTTTTGTACATTTCTATTTATAATATTCCACACTGATTCTTCTACATTAATTTTTTTATACAATTTTTGAATAATACCACAACAAAATAGTCGAACCGGAGTATTAAAAAAAGAGGCCTGTAACAACTTAACCTAATAATAATTACACCAATAATTCAAAAACTTCTAATTAGAGGTTTCGTCGATAACGTGTCCGGTATTTTATAAGTCACGCCACACTGTTTATATCGGATAATTGCGTATTCAACGAACAATTTCTTATTCCCGAAACTTTGATCCATCACCATCACCAATGTTTTTTCTCCTGATTTAAAAAGTCGATTCTTCTTTTCGTCGAAATGTTTATCCTCATCTTTTTCATTGTTAAAGAACACATTCTTCATACGCGTCGCTGCTGATCTAATCCATTCATTCTGAAATAACTTCGATAAATGTTATTTCAATTCGGATAACGTCTCTTTAGCGTCTCTGCTTTATCCCGAAGATCCCGGTGATGATAACCATAATTGTTTATGCAGACGTTGTACCCAAACTTTCGATCGGTACTGTGTGTACGTGCCTCTGTTTCTCACTCTCTATCCTTCTCTCTTTCGCTATTTATACGAGCACGGTTGATCACGCGTGCAATCACGATTTCTCTGTTGCGAAGCTGCGTGTGCCCGAAATTGCGGTCACGTGTGCCAAGGAACCTGTGGCTCGCGAGTTAACTTCGACATTATCGAATCTCCATTTTTGACGGCCACCTTGTAGCCAAATATCTCCACGCGTTTCGATTATTTGTTTCAACGAAATCGCCGTATCGAATCAGAGATGAGCAACATTTTATTAATTTTACCTGACTTCTATATAAGCAAAGGGCCAGTTTCTTGCAACAAAGTTAGCATTTCGGTTTAAAGCGTCACCATTTTGTTATTTTTCAATCGAACAAATCCTACGTCGAACGATAGATAACTTATATTTATGTAATATTCCATTATTAAAATTTAATTTAAGAACCTTGATATACCATAGATCGTCATACTTGTTTTTAAAAAGAAAAATAGGAAAAATATTTGTGTCTCATACGGCTAACTTCGATCATGATGGATTATTTTTACCATTAATTTATATAAACTAATAGCGTTACTACCGTGAGAACATATTTTTTGGGTAAAAAGGCGGATTTCTTTCTTATCGTGAGCATCATTCGTGGGCAGTTTTTGTCGATCCGTGCAGTACGGTGCATTTCTACTAGAAAGTGAACTACAGTGTTATGGTGCTCGGATTATACCCAGCTTTGAACGGTAGTCGTAAAAAAAGCTCTCGAGGTCTGTCTTTTGTCTTTCGGTGCTCGAGACGCAAAGAGAATTTCAACCACCGCTTTATCAAGTTTCACTTTGATGCTCGGAATCGTGGATTAGTATCTTCTTGGCTGTTGGTGTAAATGTAAACTACAACCATTATTCGTAAACCAACGCTGATCAGATCTTAGCAGAACTTAATATTGGACGTAGTTTGTTAAACGTCATTTTTACAAAAAATAGGCACGTCGTTCTTTGAGAAGTGCTTTGAAGAGAGCTGAGAAAAAAAAGCTTTCTGTAAGAAAATTCACTTTGTTCGGAGTCATAATATCTTGTAAACAACCATTCTTCGCATTTCTATGAAAGTATTAGCGAAATTCTATCGTGTAATGAGTCCGGAAACTCGAAACTAGTCGGGTAAGCTGCTTCCTTCGCCCAGAGAACCAGACTTTTCGTTCACATGCACGCTTCCACGTCATTAATCTCGCGTAATAAGATCCATCGAGACGTTTTTTTCATTGTTAGACAGAAGAACTGTCTGTGACACGGCAGGGGTTGGGCGAAGCTTTGAAACGTTACCCCCGGAAGGAGGATAACTGAAAATGGAAGAGACACGTGGAAAGCGAACGAGTTTTCTACCATCGACCTCTTGCTTCCTTCGATCATAAATTCTCGCATTGAACGCGATCAGAGGCGACTGAATACCTTACGCAGTTATTTATCAAACTGCCAAACGTACAAAGGAATTATTTTAAAACTCAGTAACAGTGGGTGTAGTCGTAACAAGCAATTTATTATTTGAACAAATGTCGTTCATTTGTATCCAGGAGACAGTCTGATAATTTCTTATCGATACGATTGCTTTTGTATTTTTTCGAAACACTGTGATAATCTTTGAAAAATTGTACTAATGTTAATTCAGAAGTGTCGATTAACATTCTAAAAATTCCTCTGTTTTAAGATATGACTTATTAAAATCATTCACTGCTATTGAGTTCAACGTTATAAACTTTATTCTTAATAATTTTAATTATTGTAAAAGTCATCCGATTCGAAGAGGGAACACACAACAATGGAGTCGTATTTGTTATAAAATTATTGTGTACAGAGACTGTAATAACTCCGCACGCTCAAAATGGAACCGTGTATTTTTATTATATCGACCTCACTGGTAAACGAAGCGTAGTTTTGATCGATCCATTTGCCAGATATTCGTACAGATATTCTAGATACAAATATCGTCGTAACCGTTGTACGCAGGATCCGTTTTGTCCTCGAAATTTGGTTCGTTCTCCCGAATCCCCCAGAAACGCAAATCCCTAATTGTTTTGAAGAGCATATTACGCTTGAACGAAAATAGCGGCTGTCTGCTCGCTTTCGTTGCGTGAGCGCGGTTCTTCCGCTTACGGAGCTATATTCGGAATTGAAACACGCGGGTTTTCTTTCGTTCTGTGGATCGATTCGATCGCGTTGCGCTCTCCTATTTGTTCAGAACGTTTCGTTGCTTCGCTCAGACCAGACTTTGTTACGGAACGCTCGCAGAATTATGGCTCCATTCCTCGTTCGTACGCAAGCGAGTCGTTCGCAAACGTACTTTGCATTCATTGGCATTAAAATTACATAATTTACATAATCGACAAACACACGTATTATTATTAATCCGAAGACTAGCTACTTGTTAATTATTTGAGAATCTTTAAGCAGAAAAATTCGGTTCGACGAAAGAAAAGAGTTGTCAAAAAAAAAGAAATGGTATTTAAAACAGTATTGAAATAAATTTTTGCATTTTTCCCCCATCCTCGCGTTCAGAAAGCGATATTCGCTTCTTTTTTTTAGCGTGGTTGTCGGTCTCGCGACAAAATCGATAGGATATTGCAAAATTGGCAAACGAAGACCGAATTCACTTTGCTCGTCAGTTTCGACGCTGAACTTTGTTTTCTATCGGCGGATAAATCAATCAAATGACGCGTAGCGCGAAATTACAACGTATCGCGCGTGCAAACATTAGGAAACGTTTCGTCGTCGATCTCAATAGAGCAACAATGATAGAATTAGAACGGTAAATACGCGGAATTATGCAAATATTCGCGTACAGTTCGGGATAATGGCGATTGTAATTCTGCAGAGCGACAGACGACGAGGAGTCGTGAAAAATGGCGCGATCGACTGTGCTCCGAGGCATTCTTATTTCGAATTGTTTCTTTTTTGGAGAAATGGCTGACGAATCTAGCGGACTGGCACGTTTAGTATCGATATCGGAAAGCGAGATTTTAAGCATCGCGGTTGGCTGCTTGATAGAACACTCTAGTATGTATTTCTGGCAGAGTCGGGGAAATTTTGTTCACGGACAACAAGTAACGTTTCTAGGTTCGTTCGTAAACTAATTTTTAGCGTGTCTATCGGTTTCAGAGATCCGTAAATGGATTCTAATTTACAAACGAAACGTAAACGAAAGGTGGCTTGCGAACGAATTTAAAATTTTTATTCCTCGTTCGCGAATAAAATTTGATCGACTCTGATTTTTAGACACGATTTCTTCTGCTCTGCGACGAGAACGGAACAAGTATCCCGTTAGGCCAGTCTCCGGTGATATTAAACGTGCAATAATTAGAAGTAGACATTTTATTGCATAAATTGAATTCAATATACTTTATTTTACCGAAACGAGCTGAAAAATCTGAAAAGAACGTATTCTTTCCCTTTTTCAGAAGTAATTTTACAGGAACATTATTAATTTGTTGCATTTATAAATACCGTTTCACAAAATTGTACATATTTACAGTTTTCTTTTCACGTTTAATTCTGAAATTGTTTCTGCAAAATGGAACGCATTAAATTCGAAATGCAGAAGAACTCTGTTTATCCGAACGCTCGGGAAACAAACAGTTCGTATAATTGGGTCGTTCATATAAATATTGATTGTTTGTTCAAATAGCCGGAGTCTACGTTCGGATTAATGAATTCAAATATACAGAACTTAATTGGACAGTGAGTAAAATTTCGTTCGAACAAGCGGTGTTCTACGGTCCATCCACCGGCGGAATAAAATATTCACTTCCAAGTATTGCGTTTCGCAACCAATGTTTTGCCTCCGGGGACTGGCCTTTGTCGTTTGATTAACGGAGCGTAGATTCAGAGAAATTTAAACTTTGGATAGTAGAGTTGCGTCGAAGAATCAATTCTGCTTCGTTGACACTGCTACGAAACCCTGAACGCTGTTGATCCGTGGAGAGATATGGCAAAAACGGACTAGTTGCACTTGACCAGCCCGCCGGAGGAGGAAATCGTCAAATAATTCCTCGACTTGTCGCGTGATTAAAAAAAATTTATCAATAAGCGTAACGTGTCATTAATCGAATTAATTAATTCAAGATCAGATTTCAGTGTCATTTTTTATTATAATTTTCTGTAGCTTAAAATTTGCAAAATTCGTTTAACACGAACGAGACCAGACGTTTTTACAATTTCCAGCGTTTGTCACGAGAATCCAATTTTGTTTCTCGTATTTATTTGACAGCCCTCTTTCGGCCGCGGCGGTCAGTTGCGAGAACCATCGAATCGTACAAATTCCAAAGCGTGTATGCTTGGACAAAATCGATATCATCCTATCCCTCCGCTTCTACTTGTTCGAATGGACGCTTTTGTACTTGTTGCTTTCGGAACAGCATGATTCCGCCGGTACGTTCGCTTTTGAAGCCTTCTCCTGCAACCCGAAAGAACAGCTGCGGACCGCGCACTTTTCTTTGATCACTGTCTGCAATCTCAGTTTCCGATACGTATCTTCTGACGTTCGCGTTCTAGCTACTATTTTCCTATGATTTCTCATGCTGTACTGTTCTCTCGCGCGCTGAGTATGTTTTTTCTTGTGACGAATTGTCGTGTAGCGCTAACACGTTGCATGCTACGCTTGGAAATTAGAGAAATTACAAACGAAATCGGACGGCGATGGTAACTGTACTTTTCCACAGTGTGGTGGATCCTTCGCAGCGCGAGAACCTTGGGATTATCGTACAGTACAAAGTCAAAGTGAAACTTTGTCTTGGCGCACTTGGAGGGTAAGTTTCAACGAACCAATATTTTTATATAGAATATCACTATTTCCTTCACTCGTGTACGTATAATCGAAAAAAAGCATCGCAAACGTTGGTAATTTATATTAACGAACATCAGTGTTAGTCTATCTTTATTAATTTCTAATCATTCGAAATCAGACGGTCTTACATTCTATATTTAAAAATTTTCGATAAGTCCGATTGATTATATTTTCAAAAATTTACATGTAATTTAATTATAAACGTTTTGATCATTTCTATATTAAAATAAATGAAAAGAGACTGCTCGTGGCTAGAAAAATTATTTTGCCATTTTATGGGCATCGAGTTTAAGTTTGCGGATGAAAATCAGGCGGACGATACTAAACTGTAATTCATACGTCGTTTACAGTGAATTAGTCGCGGAATTGCCATTCATTCTGATGCACCCGAAGCCGGAAGAGGAAGAACCGACGCCATCCACCACGCGTCCAAGCCCGACGCAAAAAGCAGACAGCGGTGAAATACCGCTCGACACGAACCTCATCCAATTGGACACGTACGTGGTCAATATTTAAGTACTGTCGAGTTATTCTCGTCGATCAAAAACGTGTCGAACGTTTCTACGAAATCATTCGTCGCTGACGTCTATACTGCCGACAATATGTCCCTTATTCGGCCCTCCAATATTAGTAAGAAGCGCTCGGAACGTTTTCTTGGAAGCGAAACTTTTACTTCCCGTGTCAATGATCTAGCGTTAGACACGATCGTACCCTCGTCTTCGTTAATTACCAATTAACGTACTGCTTGTCAATTAGAAGCCCCTGTTCCATTGCAGGGAGAAAGAAAGATTATGGTCGAGGGGAATATAGCATCGTGATTTAAGCAGGATGCGGACCAGAGATCAACAAACCATAAATTGCAATAACAAAATTACGAATAAAATTAATGTATACCGATTTATTCCAGACCAGGCATTTCTATAATTCGTACCCTAATTTTTTAATCTGGAAGTGACGAATGAATTGATCTTTCTTTCTCTTCACGATCGATTATCACTATGCTTGCAAAGAAGAAACACAGTCTTCAACGTTTCTGAAACCACTTTGCTGGGTCCTTTTTAAAAGTAGCAAAAGATACACTCTAATAAAAGAAATAAAGAAAACTTTAAAAATTAGTCGAGTCAAGTTATTTCATTGCTTTCTTTCTACCTTTGATAACTTTTGGAAACGTTAAAGGCTCGCGTGGACCACAAATTATCGAATCTACGTTATCATATTGTTCGCAGTATAGAGTCTTTAATGTTTATTATAATATTTCGGTGTTCATAAAGATAAAGCAGAGAGACATTCCATTTCTCAAGTTTTTCATTGACGACTAGTATTATGCAGAAGTTCTACAAAACGAAATGAAATTTGTCAAGGTCTGATCGAAGGATGCTCGAACCACGAGCAATCTGTTAGGTAATTCTTGTTACTTTGAGACGATGTTTCCTGTCTTCTACTTGAAACTATTTCTTCGCGCGATACCGCCAGTTTGCTAAACGATCTTTATCCTTCTGCGAGTTGTCTATCAAACATTTGCACCCACACTGAATTCACTTTCTTCGCTTACCACACTCGACTCGGTTTCATCTGGTTTTACGTCATTCATTGTTCACTCTTTCAACGTAGAAATAAAAAAAAAACGACTAAAATTTTGACGATACGCCGCCGTTGCGTGTATCCTCATTCAAATTTGCGTCGTTTCTTCCTGATTGCAGAGAAGCTTACGGCGAAGACGACATAATCTTCGAAGACTTCGCTCGTCTCAGGTACAAAGGCGAGACAGAGGCCTGACCAAGTCGTTCCGACACTATTCACTTATACGAAACAGCAAAACGTCCAATGTTTCGAAACGCTGCATCGCCGACGAAGCTAATTTCATAAAAAAAAATTCGATTCGATGGGAATTACCTCGCGATAAAAAAGAAAAGACAGTACACCGGAACCAAATACGATACTTCGCGAACTATCGCGAGAGGAACGACCGGGGATCGAACAGGATCTACGTCATGGTAGCATTGTTCGTTCGGAAGAAAAGAAAGCTCGTTCGAGCCACGAAGTAACGAAAACAGTTGTATCGTTCGACAAATCTATTGCTAAAGAATTCGTTTCCAATCTATTTACCGGTTCTATGGCGGATCGCTGTCCGACACGGGACAAAACACACCCTCAGAATGATACTAATTGCTGCACAAAAAAAAGAAAAAAGAAAAAGAAAAAAAAATGCAACGTGTTCTCCAAGGAGAAGAACAAACTATCAGCGAACGAATATGCTCGACGAAAGTTTGTCGTTGGGAAAACGCTGCTCGTCGTGACGGAGCGCTTACGCTTTGACGCATTTTATTCGTGACAAGTAACGAAGCATCAAAGACTGAACACACCGTTGAAGGAGGATATCCAAAAATCTTAGCCAATGACGTATATTTATTATAGCTCTATCGATTACAAGTGACGAGAGATGGTCTTTCGAGGACGGTCTGCTCGGGAACCACGTCGAAGACTATTCGGAGGCGAAACGAAAGTCTCTGGATGGGGGACTATAAACGGGCAGATGTTTCTGTAACTTTAATTATATGGCCAGTATTTAATGTAATGCAGCCAGTGTTACACGTTGATTCGCGCAAAATTATTCCTATCAGTCGTAGACTTGTCGTATGCGTACGTTTCTGCTCAAGTCGAAAGAAACTCGCGCTTCTTTAACGAGTACTCAAGGAAGAGAAAACGGTCGTCTTTGTTAGGTCAGACACACGGACTAGTATTTATTTATTTGTTCCCGTAGAATTACGATAGTTATTTTTTTTGTGGATCGTTTGGCCATACTGCAGAGAAAAATACACGTTGTACGTTACGGTTTGTTTTCACCTTCTTAAGTGACTTACAAGGGTTGAGGGTACACAGGGCGTATATAGATCACGTAGAGAGTAGAAATTCAATTTCAAATATTTAACTATTTTTTATTTTCTTGTTGCAACTTGGAAACTATTAAAAAGTTTAAGAAAAATTCAGCAAGATAGATCTAGTTTTAAGAAGTGACTCTTGTCTGAGAATCTTTTTTCTATCGTGCATAGTTTCGAAGTTACAACGAGAGAATCTAAAATAGCCAAATACTTGGAGGGTGAATTTTCTACCCCTTACGGTGAATTTGATTACACACGAGCTACACACTCCCAAAGTTTAAGAATTTTTTTAATTTCTGGGTAGGGGATGGAGCATCCCTTGTTAGACTTACTGTAGACGAATTTGAACGGTAGACTTAGAGATAAAGAATCTGTTTATGGCCTGAACAGCTGAACGGTAGAACAGTGGGTGGGTGAACTGAAGTATTGTTCTCCCTACAGTTTTTCTGGCCTGGAATTCAGTGCATTTAAATTTTTGTTTTCACGTTAATTTGATATATTGAGTTTCGTTGGTAACAGAGGCGGCCATATTTGTTAAACTAATCAGGCTACAGGCTACAGCCTTTTCTAACATTGAACTTCGAAAGATGAAATCCATGGTTTTGGTAACGCAATTAATGCGAATCTTGACTTGATCCTGTATTTAACGATGTCACGGAGCAGTATTTATTGTTAATATGCATGTACACATTTAAAAACGACAATTTTTACTGTCAGATATGATAGAGGTTTCTGAACGTGGAATGCGATTTCAATGTCTTGCAATCATATAAATTGGTTATATAAGAGGTTTGAATTGGTAATTTAGGGTTACATTACAGAATGACTGGATCATTGTCAAGTATCTAGGGCTATGTTATAGAGTTACTGTATCGTCAGGTACCGGAGAATTGTAATAAAGTATATTATAAAATATTTGACAACTACAATAGAATATATCACAGTATGTATCAGGAACCTGATCCTAGACTATAACATTAGTACGGCATAATAGATGTATTGGCATTATTGTAGTTTAAAGCAGTATTACTATCACAATGAAAGTTTGACACTATACTGTATCAGACTCTGCAGTAGCAGTCGAACTTGGGACCTTGATAAAGTCAATTGCAATGCTAGCAAACGATTGAAATCATTTTCCAAGAGGAAATAACTTACGCGTGGAAGCCTCTAACGATCGTATCTGTACGAACCTATGAAAAGGCTGTGAGAGCCTGAACGATCTCAAACGAATTTCTATCTCGAAACATTGCCTGAACGATACGATTGTAATTTCTAATCTTTCGACCAGCGTTTGCGACTTGAGACCATCGCGAACAATTATTGAAACAATGCGTTACATTGACCGTAGATATATCTTTGTATTTAGCGTTTTACACACGCGATCAAAGTTCACGTTTTAAAGATGTTTTTTGTATTACCTAATACCGAGTGACACACACACGCGTCAGGATTTCTTTAAGAGAACATCGCAACGAATCCTACTTAAACGTTATATATACGTGAATATATACATACACACATATATGTATAGATGTATGTAAACCTTGCATCACGTGCTTAACGATAAATTAAGCAGTGTTGGTTATAAAGAGGAATTAAATAAAAATTCCAGCGGTTTTAGCTTTTACACATTTATACCGAGGTCGAGAGAGCATTGGGTTTCTTGCGATGCTACTAATCGTACGATTTTGTATTCCTTTTTTATGTATCACGCTTTAGTACCGAACGTAACATTTATGGTGCCATCCTTATTACTTGGATTACCATTGAACATTCTTTTTTCTGGGAGATTTCGATTGACGCGGACAAGAATCGATCCAGTCCGTCACGATCTACGAAGACTGTTTGTCAAATTGAATCACCTGTTTCTATAAGGAGCATCAGTTCCGCATGAGTTTCTCTGGATCGTTTACGATTTACGTTCAGTGTTCGTCGGTGTAATAGTAATTCTCTAATCGAGAGACGGCATGAAACGAATCGAAGCAGAATTTACCGATCAATTCAAGGCGCAATTGAGAGAAAGGGATCATTCCAGGAGTACGTGATTTAATGTATAAACAATGCCTTTAGAAACAAACGTGAAATATTAAAGTAGACTCCAAGCGGCAGATCAAACTGACCCGACGACTCGCGGTTAAGTGATTGGAAAATGTTCACTGATTTTTAGTGTGATCGTTTATGTTCGTTTGGCTGAGAACAGGAAAGATCCGTGAAAGTTCCAAGTCGATTATAGACTGAATATTATACAACTACCGATTGAATTTTTGTTTTAACTCTTTCTTTACTATGTATTTAAGACTTGACGGTGTTATTTTCTTGGCAAAAGAAGTTGGAAGAAATTTTCTTTTCGTACAGCGCTGACATTAAACCGAAATACAATGTACCGTTGAATATACTTATTTCTTTGTTTATTTTTTTTTTTTTTTATTAACCGCGTTTCATGAGTCACTGGTTTGCAGCTCAGGAACACTCTATATTTGTTGTATTAGCACGATTGAAGCGTTAAGGCGTCCGCTGTCAATTAATCGTTATTTCATCGAAATTGATGGTAATTTTGCAAGGACACTGCAGCGACAGCGAGCGTGTTAATTAGAGCAACTTTTGCGTGTCGACGAGTGTAATTTACAATTAACGTAATTGTACGTCTCGAGGGGAATGATTTGTTGGGTCAAAACTGAAGGGACCTAGTTTGACAAAGTATTATTTTTAAGGACACCCTCGTCCAACGCGAGCCAACAGCTCGCTTGGATTCATTTTAGGAACCTCGTGGCCGTCGATCGCCACATTCTTTTTTTTTCTTTCTTGCGATAACGAACGAAAAGTCAATTGAATAGACCAAACGAACGGTAGCTCTTGTCATTCTCTTCAATTTTGACCCGCAGAGATTAGCCAGAGCAATGTCCGACCGTGCTCCTGGCGTTTTAACGTGCGCATGTATATACAGGAAGAATAGTATTTTTTATCGATTTAGCATTTACAGAGTGTTATTTAGGAGAGATTACCGATTATACCAAAGCCAGCATCTCTCTCTTCGATGTTTCGTGAACGAAGAAGCTTCTGGAGGATTGGGGAAAGGAAGCGTGCGTGTTGCGCGGCAACGAACATAGTTTTCTCTAGGAATTATTGATCGAACCAGTCCCAGAATTAATTGCGAATGTCCACTTAAAGTTTAACTATCTGTAGGTCGAAGTATGTCGCTGTCCGTAAGTTTGGGGTCGTTTCAAAATTAGCAAAAGCTACCCAGACTTCCGCTGCCGAAAATACCAGCACAAAACGATTCTCGGAATAAAATTAATCGAACTTGCCAAGCAATACTACTTTATTGCCCCGTACTAATATATAATAAAATAAAATCCACTTTGGCGTGTTTGGTACCAAAATAAAATCTCAAATTGTAATGCATACTATTGCTTTTAGAATTTTGTTCTTCGATCACGAGATTCGTAATTTTTACGTTCATGACTAATTTTATTCCAAGAGTTGCTTCGTATTGATGCATTCGGCGCTGTTCGTACACTCCGCGGATGAGACGCGTTTGCTGTGTGACGCGTCGACGAGGGTCGTAAGTCCTCGTCACGAATATTTTCGACACCCGGAAGAATGTACGTTTAAGATCCCTACGTCCTGTTAAGTCCGTTGGGATTAATTGGGTTTGAAATAATCTGGACAACGTGTGCAGGAAAAACTATATATTTTTGTATAATAATTAAATTGTGTTCGTGAATATTGTTTCGCGTTTTGTGTTACGATACCGAGTGCGTGGTATACTGGTCAGAAATCAAGTACCGCCCGGCGATCGGGACCCTGGCTATATACCCCTGGTCCCGATCGTCTTTTGGATTTTCTTCGCGCCGGGTGCAAAAGTTCGAGGCGCGCGCCGCGGAACATTCTCGGGCCTTCGAGGACCGAGAATATTCCGCGACACGTGCAATCGATCGATTTTGCACCCGGCCCGAAACGGTTGCCCCCGGCACCGTTTCTAACGGACCTCACCGATGAGTAATATAGAACATAGCAAGATTCCGTGTGCTATGGAACATCCTCCCCCCGTTGAGAGGGGACCGATCAAAATGATATGTTACGTGTATGTATGAATGTAAATCTGTGTAGAGTGTTCTGATTTAGTTAGTATTGTAGTGTACTAGTGATCTTCTCCCTCGAGTACTGGTTGTGTGGGTTCGTCCTGGCTGGATTGGTTGGGCAACGGGACGAGACGCTTGATGCTGCGATCCAAGATAGTCGTGGCGGTTTTGACTGTCACCGCACGGACAATGCCGTCGCTACCGGGGTGGACCTTGATTACGCGTCCTAGTGGCCACTGCATGGATGGCACATTATCCTCTCTAAGAAGGACCACGGTGCCGTCTCGGACTTGGTGACTCCCCTTGCTCCATTTATTGCGCCGGGTCAGTTCATTCAGGTATTCCCGATACCATCGGGTCCAGAAGTTCTGTTTGAGTTTTTGGACGTGTTGCCAACTGGACAAACGGTTTGATGGCGTATCCCTGAAATCTCTTTCTCGAAGACTCGTTAGCGCGTCGCCAATTAGGAAATGACCAGGCGTTAGGACTTGTAAATCGTTGGGATCGGATGAGAGAGGAGTGAGGGGTCGGGAGTTCAGAATCGATTCTATTTCAATGATTAGCGTGTTGAAATTTTCGTATGTGAATATACCAGCACCTGCGACGCGTTTGAGGTTATATTTAAAAGATTTTACGGCCGCTTCCCACAGACCTCCGAAATGTGGTGCGTGTGGGGGAATGAAATGCCACTCTATCTGTTTCTCGATGCAAAAAGATTTTACCTTGTCGCGGTGATCGTCGCTTTGCAACAGGTTCCGTAATTCGCGCAACTCGTTGGAAGCTCCAACAAAATTCGTGCCGTTGTCTGAATGTATATTCATACAATAACCCCGGCGAGCAATGAATCGTCGTAATGCAGCGATGAACGCTTCACTCGTGAGGTCGCTGACGAGCTCGATATGAACCGCTTTCACGGCAAGGCAGATAAAGATGGCCACGTACACCTTCACATTCGTCCGATTCCGATGTTTGCGTTCTTTGATTAGGAACGGCCCGCAATAATCGACTCCTACGTTAGTGAAAGGTCGCGATTCGGTGATCCTTGCTTCGGGTAGATTACCCATAATGTAGTTGATCGGTGGTGGGTGAGCTCGACAACATCGAACGCATTTCTTAATTATCTGCCAAACTTGACTGCGACCATCGATTGGCCAATAACGCTGTCGCACGGCGTATAACGTAGTCTGTGTGCCGGAGTGGAGATGCATGCGATGTTCGTTTTCAATTATGAGAGCTGTGACGAATGATTTTGGTAGTATAATTGGGTGTTTTTGTGCAAATGGCATTGTGGAGTGTTTGAGTCGACCTCCGACTCGGAGTATATCATCCTTATCGAGAAACGGGTTTAAATGTTGTAATTTCCCATTGGCTGTAGTTTTCTCCTTTTTTAACCGTCTGATATCTTCGCCGAAATGCACCCCTTGGATCATTCGGATGACTACGTTATGTGCGTGTTGGATCTCGGGTATTGTCAGTGTCGAACCCTTTTTTTTGTTTTGTCTCCACCGTAAGCACCGGGCAACGACTCGAAGAAGTTTGGGCCATGATGAATATCTTTCAATGATGCTGGTGTCGATGGATGCTGTGATCAAACATACTGCCTTTCTCTGTTCCGGTATGTCGACCGCCAGTATTAATTTTGATGTTGGCCAGGAAGATTCCGAATGATGGAGCCATTCGGGTCCATGACACCAGATTGTGGGACGCAAAAATTCCTCTGGTGATTGGCCTCTTGAAATTAGATCTGCTGGATTGTCCTGTGTGGGTACGTGTCTCCAATCTGGGATGTGCGTTTTCTCTTGAATTTCCGCGACTCGGTACTTAAACCTTATATTTGAGAAAACATATGACCTTTCATTGAAAACATATACTTATTAATATCACGTATCAAGACCTTTTATATTGGGAAGATACTAGTCTTTACCTAAGAAAAATCTCCCAGTGCCTATTAGATTAACATCCACTTCATCAATTGGTTCAAGTGTCGCGGAAATTTCCTGAACTCTTCTCCAACCGGTTGTCCCAACATCCAGAGTTCTGTGATTTGTTTCTAATTTCGATCGTAGTTCCTCCCTCAGAGTCGTGTAACTTGAGATGAGCGATTGCATAGATCGGCCACCAACAGCTTTAGTGGTGTCACTAGCCAAGTGATCAAAGAATGAGTCATCGAACTTTCTTTTTGTATGTCCACTGAAACATGGGACTGAAGATAACTGACTATATGAAGATGTTAAAAGCCCAGTTTGGTTTGCCTGAGACAACTTCGAATAAAAGATTTGTTGTACAGGATTAAATGAAATTAATTGTCCCTCTGTATTTGTTTTCTGAAAAATCCTGCCCATCTGTTCCCGCGTATCCCATCTTCCCTGATTGGTTATAGCTGACAATATTCCCAAATCTTCCTTGAAGGTACCAAACATGCTGTGGTAGACGATCTGCTTGGCAAAACTGTCTGTCCCTCCATTTAGATTCAATCCCCACTTATAAGAGCTAAAGATTTTATAAAAAAGAAAGGCCCCATGACCAGAAAAATTGAAATTGTTTATGAGATTTACAAGGGAATATTCAGTGTTGTCTAATTTATGATCGTAGCGGAAAACAAATGAAAAGGCTGCAGGCGGTGGGAACATCCTAGTTGCTTGACGAGTTGTAACTATTAGAGCTACATCAGATATTAGGGACATCAATGTACGTATCTCTGAAGGATCCTTCTCCTTAAGTAGTGTCAGTATTGTGTCAATTTCTGGGAAATGAGCGAATGCACGCTTAGCCGCAATCTCCCATTTTTTAGAATATCTACGATCTGCCTTAATGAAACATAGGAGTGATGTGAGAGGCCCAACAGATTGCGGCATAGAAGCCCTCTTCTCAGGTGGAAAGGTTACCCCCTCGCACAAAGGGTGGTGCACACCATAAATGCCATATTGTGAGAGAGTCACATCCCGCTGGATATTGTTCTTTTTATCGATCGGCATGGTATGGTGGCCTAATCGAAGTTCTTTCCGTCTTAATGCGAATCCAGATAAGAAATTTAGCAATGGATTGGCAATGCCATACCAATTTTCCTTGTCTTTTTGATCGTATTTGGCAAAAGGAACTCCCCTAAGAGTAGCTTCAGACTCTACAATTTTCAAGATTACATCCCTAGGCTTCGTTATTTCTGACTTTCTATAAGTAATTTTGAAGTCTGTAGTAGAAATTCGTGATTCCAGTGTTCCTCCGGTTTGGTTGTATCTTTGCCTAAGAATGGTGTAGCTTGTAAAGAGAATGTTATGTATCTGGTCGCCAAGCGATATGTCCATCAAATCCAGATCTGTTCCTAACATGGAAACTCCAATCTTGTGATGGGCATTAGCTATGAATAAAATGATCCTCCCCTTCTTTTCAATTTCTTGTGGCACTTGCGGTTTTTTTGCACTAGGTATTTCAATGTTAGGATCGTTAGCATCCACTATCACTCTTACTGGGGCATTTTGATTCGGAGCTATTTGTACTTCCATCTTGTAGATTTTATTCACTCAAGTCAAGTAAAGACAGAAAGCAATTGATCAGATGATTTTGATAATATGTTTTTATTTTTGAGGGTCTGTTGATACTACATCGCTCAAGTTCCCAACAAACCCTGCAACTGAGTCATGCAACAAAACCACCACATACGATGCTTCGTATTGATGCATTCGGCGCTGTTCGTACACTCCGCGGATGAGACGCGTTTGCTGTGTGACGCGTCGACGAGGGTCGTAAGTCCTCGTCACGAATATTTTCGACACCCGGAAGAATGTACGTTTAAGATCCCTACGTCCTGTTAAGTCCGTTGGGATTAATTGGGTTTGAAATAATCTGGACAACGTGTGCAGGAAAAACTATATATTTTTGTATAATAATTAAATTGTGTTCGTGAATATTGTTTCGCGTTTTGTGTTACGATACCGAGTGCGTGGTATACTGGTCAGAAATCAAGTACCGCCCGGCGATCGGGACCCTGGCTATATACCCCTGGTCCCGATCGTCTTTTGGATTTTCTTCGCGCCGGGTGCAAAAGTTCGAGGCGCGCGCCGCGGAACATTCTCGGGCCTTCGAGGACCGAGAATATTCCGCGACACGTGCAATCGATCGATTTTGCACCCGGCCCGAAACGGTTGCCCCCGGCACCGTTTCTAACGGACCTCACCGATGAGTAATATAGAACATAGCAAGATTCCGTGTGCTATGGAACAGGCGCTGTATATTTTGAGATGGTAACGCCGTGTACTAATTTTTTGCGAAGAGCTTTGTTCGAAAACATATAACGGTAGACTATCGTAATCGAGGATCAATTGACCTTCCAAGATCACTTCCCCCTCTCTCCAATGACTCGCATCGTGGATGGAACTGCGTGACAGTCTAACAATATGACGAAAGAGGGGGGAGAGTAACTTGCAAGCGACCTTCGTCGGCAATTGACCCCGTCTTTGAACCCAAAACGCTATCGTCGTCATCAAACGAAACCGACACGATGCAGTTTGGCGCGATCAGGTGGTGAATCCGACGCAGGTGGAAAGCTGGAGGTGACGACCCTAAGCTTATAGGCGCAACGCGGGAATAGAAAACGAAAGAACGCGGGCATGTACAGTACGCGCGAGAGTATATTTTATATTCGAGTGAATATTTTTTGTATGATAACCGAGGTTCTGTCGGTGCGGGGAAAAATGAGGAGCTCGGTGGACTTTGGACGAGCAGAAGCTGAAGGTAGTAAGGGAAACGGTCATCTTGAATGCACAAAGAATACGCAACCGCGGACGTGTTACTCTGACGAGTCGATAATGGGTGCTGTAACGAACGTTCGGTGTCAATAAATTGTGCTAGTTCGATGTAACGAGAAACGAGCACATTACACTCGACTCTGCCAACCTCGATATTCTCTTCTTATAAACGCGAGTAGAGTATAATCGTTGTACTCCGTTGATGTTGTTGGACACGTCTGCAGCCCCGCACGGGCTCGATGTAAAGATGCGTATTCGTAGTAGATTGTACATTATGTATGGAGTTGACATGCGTAGATCACGCAGGGCATAATAGTTAGTTAAGTTAGAGGGGAAAAAGTTTTTCGTCCAGTAACCAGCGTGTATGTACGCATTAACGTGTTCTGAAACGGGACGAGTCGCAAAATGGACCACAAGCAGTGCTATTCTTACGTGTAAATTGCGTTCCCAGCAGTTCAACTTATTCCCAATGGTTCGGTAAAGTAATGAAAAGGGGGAAAGAAAGGGGAAAAACGCGTGTGACGTTCAAACGACCGAATAATTCATTCTTGTGCAAGAACAAAGTATCGCGAGAGAAACGAGCATATTAATTAAGAGTGTGTATAAAAGAGAAATGGAAGAAGAGAGTAAATAGCGAGATACGTAATATATTATAATGTGCATGTAAAAATTGTGTATTCTCATATAATAATAGCTGTAATAATTTAATAAATCCTGTATATCGGATCCCGTTGTGTCTATCCTGGTTGCGATCGTTTCTTTAATTTTGGTAAATACATAGCTTGGTGATTGGTCGGGATTTTTGAGAATTTAACAGAAATTCTTAAACCTTTCCCGTACTTTAACAAGTCTGACTCGCGATGAAGAGTTTGGCCCAAACACGAATATCACGAGCTAGACTCGCGAACACAAGGTCGACCCAAACGTAAACATCTCGAGCCAGCCACGCGTAGTTCTTATCAGTACGCCATAAGAGTTGGTCGCGATTCTTATAAGCTCCGTTACAAAACAGTTTAACATCAGTCTGGTCTGTCTACCGTGCCACTGGAAAGGGTTAATAATAAGCATCAATTAAAATATGTCATTCACTCGTTTGTTAATGTTTTCTTTTACTGACATGTACATATTAGTTTTCGTTAAAAATCGTGATGAATCTGTTGAATAAACTTCCTTCCATCTTTAATAATAGCTCCCAAGGCATCATTCAAGGGTGAAACTTTTGAAGGCAGTTTCGCCCCTTAAACTTGAGTTACTGCTTCGAAAAAATTCGCATCCTTTATTTTTAGCCGATTTACTAGCCAGCAAAGTTTTAATATCAGGTATGAGGAAACTTTATGAATGTTCCTTGTTAGCGAAGAAATATTTCTCACCCCTGATTACTATAAGGTAAACCTTCGAAGACTTTATTTGAAACGTTTAAGATTCTTTTGTTTTCTTATAATATTTTTTTCGTTGATCCTCGGTTCTCACACTATGGATCTCATAGTTATTGTTGTAAGAAGTATAACGAACGAAATTACACATATTCTCATTTATTACAATGACAATCCAAAGTTGATAGTCTATTTTTTATTGAAAGTGTTCCATTTGGGCAAATTAATGATCATGTTACATTGGAAAATGAATCGAAAGAAAAACAGAATGAAGCGTTTCCACACAGATCTTTGTTTTATAAAGAATACATTTAT